GTTGAGTTATACCATGTCCTACGACGGTTCACTGCAGTGGGAAGTGCTACGGTGGCCTGTCTAGTTTTGCTGCCGTGTCTTACAATTTAGGGTCTAAGTTGTCAGGAGAGGCTCACGCATCGGGAGCTGGTGAACAAAGTGCATTCCAGCACCAACAAATGCCAAGAAGATATGGTAGTTTTCTGCCTGACATTCAGTCACACTAGTGGCTGTTTCCCAGAGGGAGCTATAGTGTTTCAGTCATGCAGCAAGTGTGCCATCCTGGCTCTCAATCCTCAGTGTCAGACAGTTGTGGGCTTAACAGGCTGTAATTGGGATGGAGGGGAAACACTCCTCTTGTGTTGGAGTTTTGTATTGGAGCACAAAGTGCTACCTTCGAAGGTTATCAGTGGAAGTAAAGTGCAGAACATCTGTCGTAAAGCAGGATCACTAGACAGCGGTATTGTAAAATATCAAAGCAGGTAAACACAGATATCAGGAGAATAATGCAGAACATCAGACACAGGACAGGATGCCCTCTCAAGCTGAATGGTAACTGTTCTGGAAGCACAAATACAAGATAACACCAAGTTATCTCTGACAACATTGAATTTGGGCTGGATATAGCACCTCTCGCCAGAGAATAGCTTGACTTTATATCTGAATGCTGTGTAATCACTGAACATCTGAAAGCAATGCGTTTTACTCAGACAAGGACAATTCTGCAATAAAGGATTGTACAGAGGCAGAGGCCTGAAATTCCACCTAGTCTTAGCCCACGGAAACAATTTAACATTCCGCACAAAATTGTGGAAGATTCTGAAAATCCAGCATGAATTTGGAAGCAAGTCACTCACAGATCTTGAAAGATCATAAGGGATCACAAGGTTGGTTTGGATTAAAAAGCCCCTTTGGCCCATCCAATCTCATCCTTCAAGAAAAAGCCACCCTACCATCTCCCCCCCATCACAACAACAAGCTGCTTTTTAAATGAGTCCAGTGTCCTGGTCTCAGTCATAGGGGCTCTAATTTCATCTGAGTTCATATGAAATCTCCAGGGTCGAGTGAACTGGCCCTAATTTAGTCTCAATCAGTCAGCTTCGGAATGGGCAATACATGCTGGCCCTGCAAGCCCCAGCACATCAGATGAAAATGAGTTAGAATAAAAAACCTTGATGCACATTTTCACAATTGGGTCACTGTACTCTAAAGCGGTGCAGTGATGTAGTTAGGTGACCCGCTTTCCCCGCTGACAGTAAAAGTGGGAGCATCGATGGGAGCCTGAGGCTATTGGGCTTTGACACGTTCTGCTCAGTGACACCGGTTTCCGGCTTTCATTCCGCGCTGAATCGTGTTCTGAGCAAGGTTAAAAAGTTCACTTGGTTTAGCAGGCAACGTGGGCTACTACAAGCCTTTTACACTGGCAGTGCACTATTATATCTGAATGCTGTGTAATCATTATAATACTATAATCGTATAGTGGTATTTGCTTTTGAGACAGCGCCTCATCACATTAATGAGATTCTCAAAGAGTGCCACAGGATTTTACTGTGAAGTGCAGGGCCTGTGTATTTTGTTAACAAACGTGGCAGCCAATTTGCGCACAGCGACATCCCACAAAACAGCCATGAATTGAATGACCAATGTTATTTACATTGATTGCTATATATTGAGTCTGAAAGTTTTGTTTTAAGTTTGTCACTGGAGCACGGACACAATATACAGACAGGAAGGAGATATTAAAACCCATTTGACTCTTGGTCGATCCCGGGAGTTACAGTCCACATGAAAGGAAACACGACTGATTTTCTGCTCTTGAAACCTGCATTCTTCACAAACCCCAGGAAACAAAGTGAGAAGGCGCGATCATATGCCATTAGCGGTTTGTAGGGCGGCTGCTGGAATATTAATCCGGGGCGTGCTTCACAAATCAGTACAGCGATAAGATCGCAATGGTGTGAGATGTCAAAATTAGCAAAACAGCTAGATTCACAGCGCGACTGCAGACATCTCTGATCGCTCAAAGTGGCGACCTTTTCCACTGCATCTTTACAATGGATCAGTTGGTGCGAAATAGCCTCCAAAGTGTCCAAGCTCAGAGATTTCATACCTGCCTTTCCCCTCCCGCCCCCGCCCTTCACCTGACCCTGAGTCAATCATAACATTTTCGAAAAGGCAAAACCTTGGGCAAGTTTCCTTACTCCTCACGCCTGATAATAATCCCTCAAGAAAAAAAAATGATAAAATTGGTCACTTCAATCCACGACTGTTTGTGGGACACTGCTGTACGCAATTGGCTGCCGCATTTCGCCCACAAATACACAATCAATTCACTTTACAGTATACTCAGTGAAGCGCTTTGAGACGTCTAGAAGATGTGAAAAAGCTCTATATCAAATGCAAGGATTATTATTATTATCCAACACACAAACACGATGTTCAATCACTGTAAACATTTGTACATTTCCATTGATTTCATGTAACAAACACATTTATATGCTCTGAGCTGCCAGGTCCCATTCTCTCAAGTTCAATCATGTGGCTGGGAAACAGCAGAGAGAAAAGCTATATTCATGGATAAAATGATGTGATTTTGTCCAGATGGTTGGACATTACTTGCGCAATGTCAAATTACAGGATTAATCTGATTTGTTAATGTTAGATTTCAGTATCACTGTTTAACCAGCACATTCCCTGAACTCAGTAAACCTGTGTGCAGCAGTGAGTTCCGCAATTAGCAATTAGCACAGTACCCTGAGTAGGAGCAGAAGGGTAAGATAAGACTGAGTGGCTCATGTGAGGGAAAACTCTCATCATTGGCCGAATGACCCTGTTCCTGTGTTGTAACAGTCTCGGATTCCAACAGTAACATTCTGTGCTGGGACAGAAGACTGCTGGCCCTCACTTTGAGGGGGGGACAAAGCAAAGATGCTGCTCTGACAATACAACATTCCCCCAGCATTACACTGGAGCAATAGCCCAAACCATGAGCTCAAAGATGACCATTACATTTAACAGAAATGCATTTCATGTAAAAAGCAGAAGCTATCACTTATCAGTGGATTCGGGGTAGTGGGGGAAGAGGGGGGAGGGGTAGGAGGGGGGCAGAGGGGTCAACTATCAAACTGGTGGTAATTTTTGTCTGTGTTTGACTCCATTTTTGCTCCATGTGATAATTATCATGTCTTACCTTTGATCAATGTGATAATTATCATCATCATTCCCTCCTTCCCCACTACCCCTACACACACACTGAATTCTGTCCACATATTGGGACATTTTCCAATAATACAATAATTTCTGACCACGACATTGTGATATCTATCTAACCTGGTAAGGACACAATTAATAAAGGTTTATTCCATCCGAGCTTTACCTCTGAATTCACACGAACACGAGCTGGTCTTTCTAATCTCCTTTAATCAAACCCTCCACTGAACTGAATCCATACACCGATACCACAGTTCTTTTCAGAAGTGATCGCAAAGATTCTACCAGAGAGGCATTTGGTATGCGAATGAGCATAGGAAAATTAACTAAGCACTGGCGAGAAAGGGGATAGGAACAAACCTGGAAAGGAAAGATTGAATTTCTGGTGAAATGTGCAGTGACATTTGAAAAAAAAACTTTCTCAAAAGCTAAATTAGTCTCTGTCTCTCTTTCTCTCTCTCAGACACACACACACACACACACACAGGCACGATTCATGGGACAAGAAACCCAAGCAACAAAGTTTGCAACGCGCCAAGGAACTGAGTGCCCATTTGGTAAAATGAAACTCAAAAGCAATATCTGGTTACGAAGGATTTTTGAAGCATCACATCTCCCATGATTCTGTCTCACACAAAGAATGAGATTGCACCTCAGTATATTGAAGGATCATTTTTTTAGATGAGCGGCTGGCAACTGGCAGCGTTCCAGGTCGGAATAAAAGAGAACAGAAGAACCCAAGAATTTTCGAGTCAAAAGAAGTCCAAGGTCCATCTAGTTTGCCTTCCACCATCCTGGCAATCTCATGACATGTCGTGTCCCAAACTATATATTGTAAGAAAGACCTTGCATTTTTATAGCATTTTCCACATAAACAGCCCTTTACTGTCAGTTGTGCCAAGCGTAATCAGTGTTTTCTCAGGCTATCTGAGTGATTTTTTGCTGGTTAAACTTCAGCAGTTATCCCCAATGCAAACTCTGCCCCCCACATTCCGCAACCACCGCCCCCCCACCCCCCTAAAGCCTTGATTCTTTCCAACCTGTGCCAAATGCTCACTGGAAATTGGGTAAGCAGGGTGCGAAGGGAGAGAGAGCGTGCATTCTGTTCCAGACACAGGGTAATTTCCATGTGTAGGAGGCATACTTATGTGGAACGCCCAGTCTGGTATGAACACTCTTAAAAGCATGCTGCTGAGTTTCAGCGCTTATCAAACATCTGGCTGAGCAAAAATAATAATTTTCACAATTGCAATTTTGCACCCACCAAGATCCTGACAAACAGCCATGAGGTGAAGTGAGGTAAATGACCATTGATCTAAGGAATTGTTGGCCTGGAGAATGATAGACCTTTTTGAATACCGTTGTGGGATCTTTTTATTTCACCTGTGAACAGGCAGGTAAGGCCTCGGTTTAAGGTCTTGTGCGAAGAGCAGTTCCTCTAACAGCGCTGCACTGGAGTTTCTTTTGGTGTCCTGGCCAACAAACCCCCAAATAAAATTGAGCACTAACTCCATGGCTGTTTGTGGGACATTGCTGTGTGCACAACAGGCTGCTGCATTTCACCCAGAGAATACATAGTCACTCCACTTTATAGTATATCCTGTGAAGCGCTTTGAGATGTCTCAAAAATGATGTGATAAGGCACTATAGCAAATACAAGGATTATTATTATTATCTTATCAATATTCACTTAGGGAGGAGTGTGGAAGGAAGGAGCCAGGATTCTCTCCTGATTATTATTCTCTAACTCCAGTTGAATAACGCATGTGTGGACAAAAGCTGCATCATTAATAATAATTTTTATTTTCAAGCCCTTCGCCTGGAGCGAACACTCAGATGGCTCTGGATGGTTTACCACAAACTCTGTCGGGCTTATGCAAGCCCCTGCAAATTATCCCTGGAGAACACGCTATGAAGACAAATATTGCCTCACATAAGCAACAGGATTAACTAGGGTGGGCAAAATATAATTTACCAGCAACATGTACACCTTGGCAACAGAGTTCTCCGGGTCAATAGGTGTGGAATTGAAGTCAGTCATCTGCTGTGGGCTAATACATGGTGAGAAATGGATTGAGACAGTTCACGCTCATTTCAGTGGCACAATTAGCAACCATCACAGATAAGAAAGCATCACTCCAAATACCTGGAGCCTGGAGGAAGAGGGGAAAAGACCGAAAACACAGTCAAATAAATACGTTTTGAAACATATCTTGAAAGCATGGAGGGAGGGAGCAAGCCAGAAGGACCTGTGAATGGAGTTCCTGAATACATTTTTAATTAAAACTGTCAGCATGAAAAGTGTTCCAATGACCATAAATTGCAGTTGTACAACACCGTTCACGTAGTTAAATGTCTGAAAGAGGTTTACAAAGATGCAGTAGGAGTTTGAGCAGGGTGGGAGATACTGTGGGGTAAATATTATAATCCTCGCATTTGATACAGCTCCTATCATGTCAGGAGGACGCCTCAAAGTGCTTCAGAGGAGAGTGTAGTGTAGTGACTGTGTATTTGTCGGTGAATGCAGCAGGTAATTTGTGTACAGCAAAGTCCCAATAATAATAAAAGTCCTTGCATTTGATATAGCATCTTATCACGTGGAAGGACATCTCAAAGTGCTTCACAAGAATTACTGTGAAATGGAGTGACTGTGTATTTGTAGACAAACATGGCAGCACAATTGCACACAGCAACATCCCACAAACAGCCATGAACAAATGACCGATTTTATTTGAGGAATCTGGCAGATGGGACCTTAGTTTAACATCTCATCCAAAGGATGGCACCTCTGACAATGCAACACACCCCAGCACGGCATTGGAGTGTCATCTTAGATTATGTGAGTTCAAGTCGATGCAGAATTTGAACCCACAACCTTCTGACTCAGAAGCAAGAGTGCTCCCCGAGTCAAACTTTTATCTGGTAGATTGTTAGCTGGGACACTGGGAGAAACTCTCTTCCCTTTTCGGTGTCTTCATACGGTACACAGATACCTTTAACTTCCATATACTATACTAGTTATGAGGAACAGGCTCTAATTTGACTCTTGTAGCAGAGGACCTAAGATTCTATCACTGGAGTTACAAGCATGACAGTGAGAAATACTAAAAATAGCAATAACATTTATTGTATTTGCTACAGTATTAAAATATCCCAAAGAGGTTTACAATAAATACCATGTATTTTTAGACAAAAAGGTAACCAATTTGTGCGCAGAAAAGTCCCACATAGAGCCAGGAGGTGAATGAACAATTTTATCTGTAGGGTTGTCGGCCAAGACACTGAGAGGATCTCCTTTGCCTCTTTGAATAGTATCATGGGATCTTCAACGTCCACCCGAACAGACAGACGGGACCTGGGTTCAACATCCGATGCAAAGCATGGCACCTCCAACAATGCAACACTCACTGTGCCGATGTGCAATGCAACTGCTGCACAATCAGATCAGGAAGGAGAGTGATTTATACATTGCCCTTAACACCGAGTTGCTGACAGTAAGTGAAGCTCGAGTTTCTACTGACTGTTCCTTTAGCACTTAAGCGCGGCTCTCACGGTTCCTGATACCATCTGAGGTTGATTGAGTTTCAGAGCTTTAAGCCAGTGGCAGCTCCCATCCTAAACTGATACTATCCATTAAGAATTCAAGTTGCAACTTGCTGAAGGCCAGCAATGGCTGCCAAAGCGGAGTGGATGGTACACACACATACAACACCCTTTCCAAACACGATCTATAGCAATGACTGTATCTTGTTCCTAAACTACTATTCAAAACGCGTCTCTCCCAACAGTAAGATTTTGCTGGTGATTTTTTAATTAGGAAGGAGATGTATGGCAACATCTTGTTTTGTAAAGAGCTTTGAGACCTTTACTTTCCGTGAAAGTTGTCGCATAAACTCGGAGTTATTAATATAGTACTTTGTCACAGATAAGCAGTAAGTGAACATAAGGGTTTGTGTGAAGCTACAACAGTCACTAGATTATAGCTGACGTTTTCAGTGCGTTTGTATCTTTAATACTTCTGTACTTACATTGTACTTTAAAAGGCATCATTCTGCTGCTACAGTACAGGTAAACAATGATGCACTCAACCGGTTCATTTTGTAATCAGTAAATTTGTTCCACTGTTAAGCAAATTAGTCCTCGCTCCAGGAAGAATGCTCCTGCTGTTGCATTATTAAACACTCACTGTTCACATTATTTCAGCCATAGATTAGACTTCACTCTCCACCATCTTTCACCCACAAATATACAGTCAATTCACTTTACAGTCTATTCTGTGAAGTGCTTTGAGACATTGAGAAGACGTGAAAAGCGCTATATCAAATGCAAGGATTATTATTTTTATTATCTTCCCATCTGCTCATCCCTTTGTGCCTTTTGTCCTTGATGAATCCCCACTTGTGGAAAAATAGAGGTCAGTGTCTATGTTCCACTTGTCTTCAGGAGGGGAAGGGAATGCAATGGTTGTTCTTGGCCCCCCCCCATAGGCTGTCACCAGTGAAATGGGAACAGAAATGCTTCATGAGCCAATCTGTAGGGGAACGATCCTAATTTATATGTCATTCCGAACACGTAGGTCATCACTTGGGATTTTCACACATTAATCCTGTGGGAGGAGGGAGGAGGGAGGCAGGGGCAACATGAAATGACTGTGTTTAACATCTGAATTGTAGATAACAGTGACCCTTAAAGTTGTGGGATTAATCTACATGGAAGAATTTGCGTCTCAGTCTGAAATGCCACTTCAGTGCAGTAGTAGTAATAATATTGAAAATTCTTGCATTTGATGTAGCGCCTTATCACACCATTGAGCTGTCTCAAAGCGTTTCACAGAATACAAGAATAATAATCCCTTCATTTTGATTTAGCGCTTCATCACAGTAGCACTTGCCCGCATTCACACTTTCCTTCTTAAAATTGTATTGGGGAAGGACTGAACAATGCATTTTACAGACCCTATAAAAAGCTAGCACAGACCTGTGGACAAGTATCATTCTTTAACACGCGGGGCTGAGAGATTTTTCTCATCTTTCTAGCTTTGGTGCAGCATTGCCATTCAATGCCTCAGAGGGAACAGGTTTGCAATGAATCATAAACGGAAATAGGGATAAAAATAGCACAAGCACCATTACGCTGCATTGCTGCTCTATTTTATATTCTTTTACCAGACTCTCCTCTACAGCACTGACCCACTTTTCCCTGATTCCGTATTTCCGTGTTTCTAGACGGAATCGGATAGCGCCCTCTGTGAGGAGGGCACACCTTCCCTCCCCTTGTTTTAGAATGTTTAATGCGCTCTCCCCATTCAGTCACAAACACACATATGCTCACACTCACACACGTACCCATACATATACACTTACACACGTGCACGCTCACAAATCACATACAAATGCTCCCAACAGAGGCACAGTCACAAGATTTAGTAGGCGGAGGTTTAGTAGTCGCAGAGGTAGGGAGGAACAAGACCATGGATGGATTTAAAGGTGGGGACAAGGATCTTAAACTCGACCCTCTGGAGCTGGGCGAGGATGGGGGTGATCAGCTCACAGAACTTGGTGTAGGAGAGGACACGAGCAGCAGAGGTCTGAATAATCTACAGCTTGTCGAGGGAAGAGTTGGGAAGACCAGTGAGCAGGGAGTTAGGGTAGTGGGAGCCTGGACGTGATGAATACATGGACGAGGTTCTCACGTCACATCACACACATACGCTTGCCTTGGCTTACTGAGCAGACATTACAACCTCTGGTCACTCGGTTCTCATGATTATCCTGACTTCTAGCAGCACTGGGATGGTCTGGCCAGGGCAGATGGAAAAAAGCTTGTGTTCAAAGCTCATCAAAGCAGATGCTTAACTCCAAAATCCAACAGAATCATGTGGAAATGGTACGTTTACTGCAACATTTAGTCACACACTTTAGGCAGATTCATCTTGATCAGGACGAATATACTTGACTGAAAGCTCTTGTTAGCAAAAGGTATGGGTTTCCGTTTATGTCAGGCACCTGGCTGACCAAACAAAAGTGTGAGCAATGCTTCACTGCTCCATTTCTGACCCCGAACTTCAAACCTGCTAAGAACCATAATAGACGTAGATGGTAGCAGGCTTATTAGGTCACAGCCATAGAACAACAGGGCATACGTTTAAAATTAGGACACCTCACTCAAATGAAAGTAGAGATTAGAAGAAATGCAAGGTATGTGGAACAGATTCCCAGCAAAAAGCAATTGATGCTACGATTAATTCCTTTTTAAAAATACAACATTTTATGTGTTGGTCAGTCGGTATTTGGCACGCACAGAACGCCATCAAGCCATCACCGTGCTTAATAGTGCCCAAAGCAAACTATTGATAGTTCCCACCGAAGTACAGAATGAAATGCTCAGTCTCTCTCCGGAAGCCAGACCCAGTTTACCAGGCTCTGTAATTAAACCATACCATGCAACAAATGACAGTAGCGCCGAGAAATTAATAGAATATTAATCTCTGCAGTTAATTATTTCAGTGTTAATCAGAAGTAAAAGTTTAAACTTACATGATTTTAATTTATAATTTAAAACGATTGGGTACTTTAGATTTCGCAAGTGGCCAAAGGCATGCGTGAGGAATGGTTCATTAATGATAGATTTACGGTGCATAGAAACCCCCCCAAAGCCATCTTGTATGATAGTAAAATGTTCTTTGCGTTAATGTATTACTAAAATTGGCAAGAGATACTAACCCCATCCCATTCACCACCACTGTCTAGGCTGGCACAGGAAGCATAGACACTTTGAAAGCATTAATACAGAGATTAATTGATTTCAGAAGATCAGGTTGAATTCCCTGTGAGATAATTTTAATAACAATATTAATAATACTTGTATTTTATAATCCTTGCCATCGTTTAAACATCTCGAAGCACTTTAAAGTAACAATTTTATTTCAATCATTTCAGACCGTAACAGCTCACTTTTCCCCAGCCCTCTTCTGTGACCATTACCACATCATCTGGGTCCAAGATAGAACCTCTTCGCTCTCTGATCTGCCTGTTTTGTTGCAATCCGCACCCTTGTTTTGCATCATTAACAACGCTTTAATCCATCAGCCCCTCTCCTCTGCCCCATTTTCTCCTTTGTCTTCCTTGCCCTGCTTACCCTCCTCTGTTAATCCTTAAAAGCCTCTCCCTCCCAACCTGCTCAGGTCATGGTCCCAAAACGTTGACTCACTTTCCTTTCTCCGTAGATGCTGCCTAACCCGCTGAGCGTTCCTATCGATTTCTATTTTTGTTTCAGTATTTTACGTTTTGTTTAGAGTAACAATTGCTGTGTACTTTGTAAGTACAAAAACTGTGTACTTTGCAAGCAGCCGATTTGCACACAGCAATGTCCCATGAACTACCAGGAGATTAATTTTATCTGGGGGATAACCTTCTCTTTTCAGATTGCCTTGACATTCACCAGAACAGCCAGACCGGAACCCGGTTTTAATATCTCAGAGGATGGCACCTTCAACAATGTAGTGCTCCCCCAGCACTGCACTGATGTGTCAGCCTAGGCGCCTGATAGAGAGCCGAATCAAGTTGAATTGCCTCAGTGTTTATACGGATATCGATCTTCAGTTTATAAAAGGCAGCTTACCTCGCCACAACTTTAACTTGGTTAGAGATGGTTTTGACCAATTGAAGGTTACAGTCAGTCTAACGTCATTCATAGGAAAACTTCTAGACACTATAATCTGGGACAAAATTTTCACTTTGAAAATTATGTATTAATAAAGGACAGCCAATATAGATTTGTTAAAGGCAAATCATGTCTAACGAGTTTTTTGACAAAGTAACAGAAAGGATGGATGAAGGTGGGCAGTTGAATTAGTTTATATGGGATTTCAAAAGGCGTTTGATAAAGTGCCACATAGGAGACTTGTAAGCAAATAGAAGCTCACGGTATTAAAGGGACAGTGGCAGCATGGATACAGAACGGGCTGGGAGACAGAAAGCAGAGAGTGAACAGTTGTTTTTCTGACTGGAGGGAAGTGTGCAGTGGTGTCGCCCAGGGGTCAGTATTGGGACCACTGCTGTCTTTAATCTATATAAATGACCTGGACTTGAGTATAGGGAGTACAATTTCCAAGTTTGCAGATGATACTAATCTAGGAAACGTAGTAAGTGGTGAGGAGGATAGTAGCAGACTGCGAGGACATAGACTGGTAAAATGGGCAGTCACGTGGCAGATTAATTTTAATGTGGAGCAATGCGAAATGATCCATTTTGGGAGGAAGAATGAGGAGAGGCAATATAAGCTGATGGTAGAATCTTAAAGGGGGCGAAGGAGACCTGGGGTTCATGTAAATAAATATTTGAAGGTGACAGGACAGGTAGATAAAGCTTTTAAAAAAGCATATGGGATATTAGACTTTATAAATAAGGGCATAGAATACAAAAGTCAGGAAGTTATGATGAACCTTTATTAAATAATTCTATCATTCTATGATTCAAAGTGCTTCATAGGATAAACTGTAAAATGCAGTGACTGTTGTAGGCAACTGTGCATATTGATTTGGCTTTGTAAATTATATTTAAGTCCGTGTCACGCGGATGAAAATAAAAGCAATGTGTGATGAAGAATACATTTTCTACTGGGGGGAGGGCAAGGAGAGAGGGTAAAATATGCAAATGTGAAATAACATGCATCCTGTAATGTGATTAGTAGAAAATTAGCACAGTTGTTCGGAACAAATTTGGAGAGACTTTTTGAATAAATGAAGCAATAACCTAGGTTTAATTGTACAAGGGAATTAAGCATAGCTCAAGCAATTAACAACAAGACCACACAGCAAGGCTTCTAACACTCCCGAATCCTTCCTACAGTGCATTTCCCAGCTTCTCAGTTGCATCTTGAATAGACAATAAAGCACATTGGGGTGAAATTTGCTAAATTAATTAATTAACAGCTAAGATACTGAAGAATGGATCAAACAGGTTGTTCTATCGGAGAACCAACACTGACATAATGGGTCAACTGACCTCCTTCTGTGCTATAAATTTCAATGGTTCTGACAACCTAATGATGATTAACCCATTCACTGGGCCCCAAGTGATCTGGAAGCAGGAATAACCCCCTTATGCCTTTTCAACAGTTGCCTCCTCAAGTAAGCTAATGTGATTGCCTGTGACTTTACAAACAGCAGAAAACTGGCCTCCAATTGGGTCCAAACTGGGAACCAGGCAAAGAGTATTAAGTCTTTGAGAAAAGGAGATTAGAATAAAAATTATTTGTATTTGATATCGCACATTTCACATCAGAAGGACTTCGTAAAGCGCTTTGCAGGATTTTCCTGTGACGTGTATTTTGTAGGCGAATGAGATAATAATAAGGATCCTTGAATTTGATACAGCACCTTATCATGTTTTCAAGATGTCTCAAAGCCCTTCACAGAATATATTGTAAAGTTAATTGACTGTATATTTTGTGGGCGAAACACGGCAGCCAATTGCGCACAGATGATAGAGATTAGTGATTAATAGCGATTATAATTTTAGGGAGGTTTATTTGGCTTTTCTTTGTAAATTCCTCCAACATTCTCCCTGGTGCTTCTCAAGCATGTAATTGGTTACTCGGTTGGAAATATAGCTACAAGGATAGATGTCTGTGAGCACACCGTCTCTAAACAAGCTCTGTAACCCTTCTCTTTGTGTGCTGATCCACTCCCACCGTTGATTTCTGCATTTAGTGCATCTCTGTATAGGAAAAGAATCACGCACCAAATCCAAGGCATTTAAAAGAACCAATTAATGACCTCATTACTTGTGGTACAAGTGGATGACTAAGCACTGGTCGCCAACAGTAGAGCAATCTCAATTCAACTGAGCAGTGCTGAGTAAATGTCAGCCCACATCCTCCTCTCTTGTTTATCTAATGGTAAGAACCGTTGCATTTGATATAAACGCTTTATCACATTGTCGAAACATCTCGGAGCTGTTCCCAGGATTTTAAGTGTTGCGACTGTGTATGTGTAGGCGAACACAGCAGTCTATTTGCACATTGTGATATCCCACAAACAGCCATGAAATGAAAAGCCAATTTTATCTTCAAGATTGTTGGCCAGGATACAGGGGAAAAAAATTTCCTGCTTTCAAGCAGTGCCATGGCATCTTTAAATTCCAACTGAACAGGCAGTCTCGTCCAAAGGACAGCATCTCAGGCAATGCTACATTCCCACAGCACTACACTGGAGTGTTAGCTTAGACTATGCAAGTTCAAACTCCCAACTAGTGACTTAGCTGAGTATAAGGATGCCAAATAAGCAGAGGTGCTGAATGACTACATTCCATCCCTTTATTGTTTGTCCATCTCTTACCTGGAGCGAAAGGGATGGTATTTTGGATTAATAACTTGGAGCTTTGGAGATGTTGTTGTTGAGGGCAAGGAGCTATAGTCTATAATCCCCCTCCTCATCTGATGGGCTGATCAGTGAGAATCTTGCCCTTAAGGCCATTTCTCATGAGCAGTCTAGACTGGGGAGCCTCAGACAATTTCCGAAGAAATGCATCACAGCGGCTCCCTCTAACACTGAACATAAGGCACTTAACACTTGCAATTCCCTGGAGAAGAGAACCGGATGGCATTTGAACCCACAATCAGGCCTGAATGTTGACAACATTTCCATTCAAGTCAGGTACACCCAGAAGCTGGCGATTGAGCTGAAATTGATCGATTGCACTGATCTGAAATTTACCAGTCACTGCATTAGAAAAGAAGTCCAGCTCTTGGTTAAAATCTTTTGCTCTCTGTTGTAAGGCAGAATGAAATCAACCCAAATGTACAAAAAACTGATATCTGTGCCTGCACATTGTTTCACAGAATTGTAATCTGCACTCAACTTTTTCATGAAATCATCTAAAAAAAATTGCTCCGGGATATCGAATGGGCAGACAGTGCGAATGCTTCTTTGACCATATTTGGGTGAGTTTCATTACCAAGAACTAATGACCATTCAATTGAGTCTTATATGTGTTGATCAATTTCACTTACGGTGTATTCAATTTCAGTTATGCAGTGATCAATTTCAGATGAAGATGATCAATTCTAGTCTCACACCCATTGTTCTCACAATGTCCTATTTTCTCAGCGTTCTTCACAAATAGGATGGTTTGTAAATGGATTCCAGAACTTACAGACTATAAGGGCTGTGAAATTCAAGAGAAATAAATCTGATGTAACACTAAGTGTCATTATAAAACAAATGCTCTTGTTAATTGTGACGCATTCTCATCAGTGCTTCTATTGTGTTAACAATGTCATCTCACAGGAGGATAAGTCTGCATTTGAATAGAAAATGAAGAGAGGGAATCAATTACCATGTGCACACAACCTGGACACCAACACACGGTGTTACTCAATAGAACTGCAAGGCTGTGTGGAATATCAAACCTACATTTGTCTTTCCCTCCACATATTAATTTTTATCCTTGAATTTAATATAGTGCCTTTAATATCAGGAGGACATTTGAAAGCACTTCACAGGACACAATGTAAAGTAAAGGTAATATAATATAATATAATATAATATAATATAATATAATATAATATAATATAATATAATATCATATCATATCATATCATATCATATCATATCATATATGGAAATGAAGCAGCCAATTTGTGCATAGCACTGTCCTACAAACAGCCATGAAATTAATTCTTTATTTGAGGGATTGTTGGCCAAGACAACGGGAGAAATTCCCATCTCTTTTTGAATAGTGACATGGGGTCTTTAACAAACACCTGAGCCTCATGATAGGGCCTCATCTTAATATTTCATCTGAAGGATGACACCTCCAACAATGTCAGCCTCCAAGACGATATGAGTTCAAAGTCCCGACTTGGGGCTTGAACTCACAACCTTCTGAGAGTGCTATCAGCCGAGCCTGGCTGACACCACATTGAGTCTAATCCTATTCTCCTTCTCACTTTCATACATTATTCCTTTTTTCTAAGCTTGTATCTAATTTGAACCTTTCTAAACAAATTTGAATTTGCAAATTTGCAGAGAATTACGCATTCCCCCACTGGCCGTGTAAAGACATCTTTCCAATCTTCCCTCTTTGGTTTGTGCTATCAACGCAAGTTATTGTTGTTGTTGTTGTTGCCCAAATCTCAAACAAAAACTCTCTTTCCTTCACATCCCTTAATGCCATCAATGATGCATGAGTGACTTAAAAGAAAATAATTTGCTTTTTGTGAAAAAAAGGGGAAAGAAAGAAAGCCTTTTGGCTGTGACCTTTGTTTAATATCATGCTACAGATCCGCTATAAATAATGTATCCTGTGTTTGCCTCCCAGTCCTCTCTCTCTCTCCCCAGACAGGACGTTAGAAAAGGGTTATCATCTGCTAAGTGATTGTTCTCTCACTCCTGGCCTTCAACTTCTCTCTCTTGCATGTTTTTTCCTCGGCTGTATTGTACACAACATTTTAAATGGGATTGAAAGAGGCAGCACAGAATAATACTTTCAGATGCAACACGACAGTAGAACAAGGGGACACAGCTTTAGAGTTGCAAAGGGCAATCTCAGGACTGACTCTGACCGGGAAGTATTTCTTTACCCTGAGGGTAATTAAGGAACATGTTGGTTGAGGCCAGATGCTGGGTCTCTTGTAAACAGCAGCTTGATGCTGTGATGAGGAGACGGTGGGTATTCTGGAAGGATGAGATCGAATGGGCCGAAGTAAATTCTTGGCTTCTAAAGTTTGAAGGATGCATAGACCCTTTAAGTAAGTGGCCGAGCTTATAACGATAAAATCTGTTTACTTAGTACCTTCCATTTGCAGCTAACATGTCAAAGTGATTTATAAAACAAAATTAACTAGAAATGAAGCGAATGTTGTTTTACAGCCAAACCCAGCAGCTAATCTATTCAGCAGTTAATTAATGGTCAATGACAATGGTTCCCAGTGCCTGTTTGCACTGTCAGAACTGGTTGGGGTAAGATACTGAGTTCACCCACAATCTACCTACTGTACGTGCAACCGCTCTATCCCTCCCGGCTCACTGCATAGAATTGGGCTCTACTGTTTGCAATCGAAGCAGGAATGCTCAGACGTGAGCCAGACAACTGTCGGTTCTAGTTCCATCTCTTCCTTCGAGCACATTGAGACACTGACACTATTTCATGCCTCGCTTTAATCTGTTATTTCTAAAGTTTATGAAGAATGGGGGAGACTGCTGAGCCTGTCACTGGAGGTGCAAGAAGTTGAACAAAGCCTCCTTGTCACTGTATTGAGTGATTTGGCTGTCGGCTTTGCTATCAGTGGTTTCGGAAATATCACTGCACCTGAGCTGATCAAACCGATGTTTAGAGGAGAACAGGAGCAGTGCAGATGAAGGTTTTTCAATGCACTTGATTTCATCCTTCCAGAGAACCCACCCCACAAAACCTCCCATTGCAGCGTTGAGCTGTTTCTTAAATGAATCTAGTGTTCTGGGCTCAACCTGCTGTTGACTCTCGTCTATGTAAATAAATGATTCCTGGTGTCTGTTCTGACATTGCTTGAGACAACCCTGAACCTGTGTTGGTGGCTTGACTATCTGAAAGTATTGTTGTGGGTTTACTTTCTCTGTCCCATTTAACATTGCATATACCTCTGCCTGTTCAGACAGGGCTGATTCACGCCCAGTCTGGTACCTATAAGGCGGCTGTGTGGTGAGGGCATAAGACAATTCTAGACACCAACAAGAAAATCAACAATGAGATCTGCTCAATCGCCGACAATAACATGAAGGCAGCAGCAGCCTGTGAACGGCACAACATGCACTCTGAGACATCACACAGACGATATTGCATTCTGTGTGAGGGTGTTGGAGATGGATGCAAGGTTTCGATTTCACAAGCTCTGTAACTCATTTACCAGTTGGCAAGGGGGCGCGATTGACACTATGTACAGAGCTAAAATGGCTTGATTCTACTGTACTACCAGTTGAAACATTGGTTCACATTGCATTTGCTGAAAAAAACAGTTTGATGTTGCTGTTTATTTAACAGGGTAATTGTTGCCATCTGCTGCCTCTCATATAGCCTTGACGGCGTTTACATATTGCTTCTAGAGTGAGGTTTTACGCCAACAGGCACTGGGTTTGTTTCCTTCTTGACAAGTCGATGCAGGATGTTTGCTTTCTAAAGCTGTCATGAACCACTTGTATTATGGCTCAAAATCTGGCTATGAACATGTAACCTGTTCGTTGACAAGTCAATGGGCCAGAGCAGATCAAACTGGTAATCAACTCATTGTGCATAGGTCTAGCACTGAGCTCAATAAAACTTGTATCTTAGAGTAGACTTCTTCGAATCAGGTCTCCTGAAAGAGAAATGATAAAACCCATGCAATTTGCACTGCGATCCCTGCATAATAAGATGATATATAAAGGGAGAGTGTTATTGTTGCGAAATAGCATTAGAGAATGATTTGAGGGGGGAGTGGGGAAGGAAATGTAACACTGGTGATAATTACCACATCCCTTACCGCATTCCCTTTTCCCCCCACCCCCACCAAGATAGTTCACTAATGCTAATTTGCGGCAGCAAACTGCCTTTAATAATGCCCTCCAATCCCAGGAGGATGAGAGTAATCGTAAATTATACAATACGATATTGCATGTTCAGCCTATTGAAAGCATTAGTCAGGTATTGATCAAAGAAGCCGTCACACTGTGTATCTGCCACCTCACCTGTTTATGTGGAGAAAGCTGATTTGTGACTGACTATCTCCTTCCTCACCAAGGGATAACTTTTCCACGAATCCGAGAGGCTTTTTACCCTGTGGCTGAGTCAAAATCCCAGAACACACCAACTGAACACCATAACAAAGCTGTCACAAGGGCTGGAGAGGTTTAAAGAGCAGGTCCCACCACTATCTTCTCAGGAATAGCAGGGAACTAATAAGAGCTACTTTTGCTAGCGCTGCCTATGTCCTGAGATGAAGTAAAAAACAATTGGATGGAATTTTTGTCCTCATCAAGCTGAGCATGGTAATGCTTTTGCCCTCATCTCAGTTAACCAGAGGCAACAGGTTAGGATCAAACCTCATGTTGCGGCTTGGAATCACATAGTCTAAGCTGACACTGCAATGCAGTGCTGGGGATGTGCTGCATTGCCAGAGGTGTTGTCCTTTGGATGAAACTTTAAAACTGTCACAAACTGTTAAAGACCCCATGGCACTATTTGAAAAGAGTTTCTCCAGGTGTCCAAGCAAACAAAGTAAAATTGGTCACTCACTCCATGGCTGTTGTGGGACACTGCTGTGTGCAAATTGGCTGCCGTGTATCGCACATAAAATACAGTCAATCTAATTTACAGTCTATCCTCTGAAGCGCTTTGAGGAATCTCAGGGACATCGTAAGGTGCTATACCAAATGCAAGGATAATTATTATAATATTATAATTATTATTATTATAGTGAAATCTCTCTCCCCTGCCCTAACTAATGCCTCCCAGCTCCACTGCGAATTATAATAATATATCAATAATCTTTGCATTTGACATACTCCTCAACCTCCCTGGGCTCTCCCTCAGACTCACCAAATAGTGTGCAATCTAAGAGTCTGGTTCGACCCACAGCTGTCCTTCCTCCCCCACATCTGGTCCCTGACCAGGACCACCTTCTTCCACCTCCACCACATTACCCGCCTCTGACTGTACCTTACCCCAAATGCAGCCGAAACTCTCATGCGTGTGTTTGTCACCTCCCACTTGGATTACCCCATCTCACTCCTCGCCGGTCTCCCAAACTCCACCATTCACAAGGTCCAGCTCATTCAAAACTCGGCCACCCGCATACTGACTCCGACCAAATTCTATACCCACATCTCACCAGTTCTGGCCCAGGCTCCACTGACTCCCCATCGCTGAACGGATCGACTTCACGATCCTCACACTCGTGTTCAAATCCATTCACTCCCTGGCACCTTCCTACCTCTTCAACCTCCTCACTCCCCAATCCACCACCTGGCACCTCCGCTCAATTGACACCAGCCTCCTGCTTATCCCTCGCTCCTTCCGCCCAACCGTCGGAGTTCACGCTTTCAGCCGCTACTCCCTGATACTCTAGAACACTCTCCCTCAGTCCCTCCACCTTGCCCCCTCTTTCCCTTTTTCAAGTCCTGCCTGAAAACCTTCCTCTTCGACCGTGCTTACAGCCACCTCCCTCCTCCCTGGCTCGGAGTCAGTCTCCGCTACCGTTAAGCGCTCTGTGATGCTACCCTGAGAGGAGGGCGCTATATAAGTGCAAGTTGTTGTTGTATAACAGTGAAACATCTGAACATACTTCACATGGGAATTGCTTTCAAGTTTCGTGACTGTATTTTGTAGGGAAACGCAGCAGATGATTTGTATGCAGCAAAGTACCACAATCAGTCATGAATTAAATGACCAATTTATCTGTGGGATTGTTGGAATCATTAATGTCCACCTGAATAGGCAGACGGGACCTCGGTTTAACGTCTCATCAGAAGGACAGCACCTCTCACAATGCAGCACTTTCCCCCCCAACCCAGAGGTGAGAACGATACCAACTGATACCAACAGTCTATTATTAGTACATTTCCATTTCACACAACAAAGTCATCCCTGGATTCCTCAAGATTGTCAATTTAGCAACCAATTATGGACGGATGCACCAAACAGTGCTTGGGTGGAGAGTGCCCCAAATCCATTCATTTCCACTTTGACCCTTTACAGCCATTGGACAGAGAGGACTCTCATTCCAACAACATGGCTCATAATCAGGACCGTTCCAAATGAGGTCATAGAAGGTAATTGCACATTATCCGAGGAGCTTTCACTCACTTTATTTTTCAATTCAACTTCCAGGACCTATCACCTCTGATACATTCCAGGAGAGATCTGTTCGAGAGCCCTGCAGTAGGTTCACTAATGAAACTCCAATCCAGCGCCTCTCAAACCTTCACAGTCGTAGAGTCTCAATCATCTCCCAGCTGGCCCCATTCCTGACCATTGACTTTATTTCTCCGACCTCTTGCGGATTTTTAATTTGTCGCTGATGCAGCCCAGTCTGGTGTCAGGATGTAAGGCCAATGTAATTTAATAAAGGACAGTCAGACCAAGAGCTTCCATCATTATAATCTTATTATGTTAAAGCAACAACATCAATAACAACTTGCACTCATATAGCGCCTTCCACACGGAGCAGCGCTTCAGAGCACTTAACCGTGTGAAGCCTGATTCCTAGCCGAGGGGAGTGGGGAGGTGGCCATAAGCACGGTCGAAGAGGAAGGTTTTCAGGCGGGACTTGAAAGAGGGGAGAGAGGGGGCAAGGCGGAGGGATTGAGGGAAAGTGTTCCAGAGTTTTGGGGTGTAGTCGCTTAAAGCACAACCTCCGATGGTGGGGCGGAGGGTGCGAGGGACGAGCAGGAGACCGGTGCCAGTCGAGAGGAGGCACCGGGTGATGGACTGGGGAGTGAGGAGGTTGGAGAGGTAGGGAGGTGCTAGGGAGTGAATAGATTTGAACACGAGTGTGAGGACTTTATCTATTTTGCGCCTCGTAAACTCCCACAAACAGCCGAGAAGCAATGACAACTTGCATTCATATAGGTCTTTCGCATAGGATAATATCTCATAGCTCTGTACAGTGGCAGGATTGGACACCAACAAGGGAGAAGGGGGAGGGGAAGTTGCCTTGGGACGTACTCCCGATGTGAAAGGCACTCTATAAATGGAATCTTGTTGTTGTTGTTTTTGTTATTGAAGAGGTAGGTTTTCAAGTGGGATTTACATATAGATAAGGGGAGAGATGGAGGGATTGAGGGATTGAGGCAGGGAGTTCCAGAGATTAGAGGCGTAGTGTCTGAAGGCATGGCCATTGATGGAAGTGTTGGGGACATGCAATAGGCCTGGTTTTGCTCAGTGAAGGAGGGAGAGAAGTGAGTTATTTGTAGGTGAGAATGAGGGTCTTGAAGTCGATCTGTCCAGAGGCAGGGAGCTGGTGAAGGCTGGCGACAATTGAATCATAAACATTTCCAGAACAGAAGAAGGCCACTACACTTTTACCTGTGACACCCTGCTTTTTCTGTTGCTCCTCTCAATCAAGGCTAATTCTCCAGGTCAGGGTCATCCATTATTGAAGGTGACGTCCATCAGATTAAACATTTAAACAAAGTCCCATTCCAGGTAGATGTTAGAGATTCCACGACATTATTCAAGGAAGAGAATTTCACCCTGTGTCATAGAGTCACAGAAGGAAGCCCATCTGTGCCAGCTGTTTAAAAGAGCTATCCAACTAGTCCCTCTCAACCGCTCTTACCCCATAGCCCTGCAAATTTTTCGTGACCGACAATCATTCACTTCATTGCTGTTTCTGGGATCTCACTGTGTGCCAATTGACTGCCATATTTGCCTACAAATAACACAGACACTAGAGTTCAGAGCAATTCCCTGTGAAACGCTTTGAGACCTTTTCGGCGCAATATCAAATACAAGAATTATTTTTGTTGCCTATTGATGATAGTTATTGATGGAGTTGAAATTTATCGTTCGGATTTCTGAGAACGAGTTCAACCCAAACATCCATCCCATTGCTTTAAACAAACACATGTAGCAATCATCTGGCTCTGTGAGATGAACTAACCCACTACATAATTTATGAAACCTGCCAGACAGTAATATTCATTTCTTACCATCAGCTCTATTGAGCTGCGCTGTAAATGAGATATCAAAATGTGACTTAAAAAGTATTCTCTTCGTAGGTTAGCAAGTAATGTGTAAATTACCCTGAGTGATGTATGCAAATTAGCCGGTGTTTCTGAAGGAGAGGCAGGATTTATTACACGTGCCCGACGCTGATTATGGAGCAGGCCATTTAGATAAGATTCAAATCTGGTGTCGTGCAGCAGAAGGCTCGTCCCAACTGTAGACAAGTATAAATGGACAAATGAGTGTGTTCCATAAAGCAAGCTCCGCAGCACTGTTAAGTAATGTGGTCTGCCTGAATATCTATTTACTCATCAAACACTGGGCCGGAACGTCACGGGATATTTAATGGCTGCTTGAAAAGGCAGACAAGACCTTGATTTAACGTCTGATCCAAAGGACGTCAGCTCTGACAAGACAGCGCACCCCCAACACTATGCTGGTGAGTTCACTGAATCTCAAACAAGGTTTCCAGCAGAAATCATCATTCACACTTTGCATTGTAAATGTTTTTGGCATTTACAAGCCAGTTACTAGGTTACAGGATGTCATACAGCACTGTTAATACTGTTAATACCTGCGTATAGAAATGCTTCCTGAAGGAATATTAACATTTAAGATATTAATCCTGATGGAATTATAGGGAGAATGTCAATTAATCTTATTTCGTCCACGAAACAGCCTTGAATTAACACCAGCACCTCTGCTCCTCCTCTTCTCCTTGTACGATATTCTTCATAAAGTTATTATTATTATTATTATTATTACAGGCAGAACAAACAGAGGGAGGATTCCGTGGCTGTGTGGGTTTGTGGAGGGCAGGGCACGATACCTCAATAACAATGAGATCTCCTTGTAAAGATACTTCACGTCTCACCCGATAGCTTATGTAAGACCAAAGCATAACTTTCAGCTTTGCTGACGTGCTGGATTTTTAAACCTCCTTCACACTGTTGACTTTCACATAACATCCTTCAGCTGAGAGAATGCATTGCTTCGTACACCGTATGAGAGCTCTGAGAGCAGAAGCAGACAAAGGCTAGACCACACCTAGAGTACTGAATAAGGCTCTGGTCACCATGACACAAGACAACAAGGTTGATCCTCAGTGCTAGAGGAATCAGCTATAAGCAATTAGACAAGGTAGGACTCCTTAGTCTTGAAAAAAGACAATTCAGAGGGGACCTTATAAAGGGGAATAAAATGTCAAATAGGGTTGAAAAAGTAAATCCAGCTCAAAACTGAGGACATGAGTTTTGAAGGTCCATTTCAGGACAGACACCAGGAGGTTTATTCAAAAAGTAATTTGCTTTTGTCAGAAACACGTTGCCTGGAAGGATGGTTGAGGCCAGCACACACCACACAATGTGCTATTGAGCCATATAGACCTGAGGTCTGAAATTCGCCTTAGGTTTGGCCTGTGAGTCAATTATGCCTTGAAATTTAAGATTCCCTAAAATGCTAAGAAAGAAGTCCAAGTTTAGACTCAGATGGAATTTCTCTCCCAAGTGTTCATTCATATCATATCTTGAACAATATTATGTGAATGAAGCCTCGGGGGAGAAATTCCATATGAGTCTAGATTTGGACTTATCCATGTTCTCCACTTGGTTGGAAGCAGTCAGATAATTACTGCCGGTAGGTCCAGAGAAATAGCTATCTTCCCGATCTGATTGTTTTATTGTCCTGTTGTAGTCATTGTTCCTCTCCCAAAGGTACAAACTCAACCTGGCCCATAGGCAGGCACTAGCCATCTTCGGCAGCCAAGTGGTCATCTTTCATCTGTGAGCCCAGGCGGTCAGTGTTGGAAAGGCTGTTCGAGCATGGAGAGTGAATCACAGCCAAGCCTGATCTTGTCCTACCCTAACCTCAAATCAATGCATCAGCTGCAATAAAAATCAGCTCTGAACTGCAGCCAGTTCCAAGAAAACTTCTAAAAAATGTGTTAAAAACAATTTTGTTCAAAGCTTTTACATGCTTTTACATGGGTTAAATAATAATAATAATCCTTGCATTTGATATAGCACCTAATCACGGCATTGAGACGTCTCAAAAGGATATAATGTAAAGTAGATTGATTGTGTGTTTTGTGAGCAAACCAAGGCAGCCAGTTTGCGCCCAGCAGTGTCCCACAAACAGTCATGAAGTGAGTGATCAATTTTGTTTGGAGGCTTGTCGGTAGGACATCCGGAGAAAATACCTTCTCTTTTCAAATGGTGCCATGGGATGTTTAACAATTTCAGAGACCAAAGCAAAAATAAAGAGACAAATGTGGGAAGAGAGTACATATTCCATTCATTTGTCCAACTGTATCCATCTGTATCTTCCCAAGCAGCTACAGTTCCTACCTCCCTATTAATCCTCAATGGATTCTGCCACTTTTGGAGTGGTATGGTCCATGTTAAGAAATATTCCCTGATCTAACTTCTAACTCTCCTAACTCTAAGATCAAGTCCCCCTTGTTTTGAATCCCCCCATCAGATATGGAAAATAATGAAGGGAATTGACAAGCTAAGAAGCCCACTATCTACTGACTTGTCAATTCCCTTCGTTAATTTAGACACCTCTAAACAACGTAACTGAAATGGAAGAGTTATTATTTTGTGATAGAAATCAACAGGAGTCTCACCGATGGACCCTAAGGGTATAGAATGCTATGGGGTTAGGGAGAAAATAGAAGTTAACAATGAAATGCTCATTAAAAGCACAGGAGAGCTTGAATATTTATAATACCACGGGATCAGGTGGAATGCAAAAAAGAAGTCCTTGAAGAGAGGAAAATAGCAATGGAAGGAACTTTGATTAAAATGTTCCACACTTCATTGGGCACAGATAGAGGCAGAGAGATTGGAGAATAGTTCATGGGATATCCAATCTCTTAGAAAGTCACAAGTATATCCCTGGGAACGGAATAGTTTTTTTTTTAGCTTGACGTGCGTTATAGGAAAACATCGGAATAATAATGAAGGAAATAATTTGTGCATGGTTAACCCTTGAAGTGTCAGGGTTCATGGTTCACTCCCTGAGTTGGGGGGTGGATGTTCTGCACGTTTCATAATGTTCCCAAGACAACAGGTTCAAAAGCCAACCTGTCCACCCCAACCCAGGAGGGTGATGGCCCAGCCTGAGCTAGTAAATTCAGGAGAGAATGTAATGGGAAAAAGTGCAAAGGGAAGGAAAAAGTAAAAGATGGTGCCTCTGCAGGCTGGTAATTGGCTGTAAGCAGTTCCTTTGCACTGTGGGGGAGTCTCATGAAACATTAATGACTATTGCAATGTGCCAAGTTTTCAAATGCAGCGGACAGACTTAAACTGGTTGAACCCACACCACTTCCTGCCAGTTATTAACTCTAGGGAAACGTCAGCTCACAATTGCAACATGTGGCGGTTTTATAGTCTCGAACAGCATGCCGTTACTG